ATTGAAATAGCCGTGTGTAAGTTTTCTCTGCTTTATTTGGCAAAAAAGCGTAAATTACTGGATAAATATTTATGCTTTTGTCATTAGAATAAACATCAAGGTGTATTATGTACAACTGATAGAATGGTCGGGGGCACGATCTAAAAGTACCATCCCCATAATAGGAAATACTTTTCTCAGTTTTCAGTAATTTTAGCATCTTAGAACACAACAAAATATTTTTTTCCTTCTTTCCATCTTCAATAATCTTGAAAGTTTCGGGCACACCTTTAGGAATTACGACATCTTCATTTTTTTTTTAAATTAGTTTATGTGATCCTAAAAACCCTTTCCGTGCCCTATATAAAGAACTTTTCACTGAGAAAAATGTTGGTAATTGGTTTGCAGATATATTAGGGTTTTGCTCAAGAAAATCAGTTGACATGTCATCGAAAATTTGTTGAACAGGATTTAAATTTGTGCAAACTTCTTTTTTCATTGCAGATAAAAGCCCTGCAATTTGAATCTTACTCTGGTCGATCAAGCACTTATAGTTACTTTCACGTATTATTTTTGTTTTATCCGTGCTTAGGGTTACGGTAGCTGTACATATTTCACGATGTGTGCACTTCCACCGTGTCGTACCGTTATGATTCGCCTTACCGTCTTGAGTTAGTGTCCACTTGCCTTTTACAATTAGAAGATCTTTATTCTTATGATTTTTTGAAAACACAATTTCTTTGGAAGGAGCCATAATATTTTTATTTTATATTTTAACTTCAAATAATGTTTAATTTCATATTAAATGAACAGGAAATTATAAACTGGATTGACAATAGCAAAGGATGACAAATTACTTATAACTTTATTACAAGTGGCCACTTAGATACTACTAGTAATCGATGCACAGAGAATTTATAAAACGAAAGAGTTTTGTTATAATAAATATAAGTATGCAAACTTGAGATGGGGACTTGTCTATCGGTGGGATGGTAACGAACAATATTCATAAAAATCACATGAAAATTCATTTCAATTCATTTTTTATGCAATTCAGATTGTACTTATGTATATTGTTTTTCGGATCGTTAGGATACAACTTTTTTGCATTAACGTTATATTGTTTTTCGGATCGTTAGGATACAACTTTTTTGCATTAACGTTATATTGTTTTTCGGATCGTTAGGATACAACTTTTTTGCATTAACGTTTTGAGATTCAACATACTTATATAATAAAATATTCTTTATTGCACTTATAATATACAGACATTTTAATATAATAGTTGTATGCAAAGGTGAACTTATCTCTAGAAGAGATCTCTTCCAGCCAACCTTTGTTCATCAGAAATAGATTGTTAAAAAAACATATTGCAAGTTCAACTTTTAGCGAACTCAACGTTTTAGGAATTCAACATTGTGGGTCCAGTAAATTCAACTTTTTACGAATTCAACATCATAAGAATCCAACATTTTGCAAATTCAACATTGTGGTCCAGAATGGTTATTTCATGTGAAACTTAAATTTTGCCTTCTCAGAAATACACATTGTTTGTACTAAAAGAATATGCTACAAGTACTACTAGGTATAATACCTAAGTATCTATTAGTTTAAATTGAATATAAGCTAAGCAATTAAAAGCAGATTAATGTATATTTTTTATTTTTCTTTTATGAGGATATACAGGTAAATGAAGTCAAATCGTTTTATTCCATTCCTTCTTCACCTTCTCCTTCTTCCTCAAACTCTCCCTCATCATCTGCAGTGGCATCCTGGTACTGTTGATATTCTGATATGAGATCGTTCATATTGCTTTCTGCCTCTGTGAATTCCAACTCATCCATACCCTCGCCTGTGTACCAATGAAGGAAAGCTTTTCTCCTAAACATCGCAACAAACTGTTCTGCAATTCTTTTAAATACAATTTGTATAGCTGTCGTATTTCCTATAAACGTAGACGCCATTTTTAATCCTCGTGGTGGTATATCACATACAGCAATCTTGCAATTATTTGGAATCCACTCCACAAAGTATGTACTATTCTTATTCTGTATATTTAGTATTTGCTCGTCTACTTCTTTCATAGACATACGACCTCTAAATATTGTGGCGACAGTAAGGTATCTGCCATGTCGTGGATCACATGCCACCATCATGTTCTTAGCGTCGAACATCTGTAAGGTTAATTCTGGTACCGTGAGGGCTCTGTACTGTTGAGCACCTCTTGATGTGAGTGGAGCAAAACCAGGCGTGTAGAAATGGAGGCGTGGAAATGGTACCATGTTGACGGCCAATTTACGCAAATCTGCGTTTAATTGGCCAGGAAAACGCAAACATGTCGTAATGCCCGACATAGTAGCGCATAATAAGTGGTTTAAATCTCCATATGTTGGCGTAGTAAGCTTTAGCGTTCTGAAGCATATGTCGTATAAAGCTTCGTTATCTAAGCTAAATGTGTGGTCAGTGTTTTCTACTAGCTGATTTATGGACAGAGTGGTGTTATATGGTTCAACAACACAATCGGAAACTCGTGCGCTTGGGAATATAGAGAAAGATAGGATGATACGGTCGGGATATTCTTCTCTAATTCTGTTGACGAGTAACGTGCCCATACCCGAGCCGGTTCCGCCACCTAGCGAATGACTAAGTTGGAAACCCTGCATACAGTCACAGCCTTCCGCTTCTCGTCTTATCACATCAAGTGCAGATTCTAAGATTTCGACGCCTTCAGTATAGTGCCCTCTTGCCCAATTGTTAGCGGCTCCGCCTTGGCCGTATACAAAGTTGTCGGGACGATAGAGACAGCCAAAGGGCCCAGATCGGACTGCATCCATAGTGGAAGGTTTAAGATCTATTAAGACTGCTCGCGGTACGTATTTACCGCCACTAGCTTCATTGTAGTATACATTGATGCGTTCTAGTTGCAAGTCTGAATCGCCATGGTAGCAGCCGTTCGGATCGATGCCGTGCTCGTCAGATATTACCTCCCAGAACTGTAAAAAGAAATTTAGCTTAGAATATTTATGCTTAGGATAGAAAGTGATCACACATTTTTTATTAATGATAAAATTCTAATATCTAAACAAAAATAAGATGTTGTATTATAAACAATTCGCTTTCCAATATGCATTATTCACAAAGCAAAAGGTGAAATAATCGTCAGACTAAGCGTGGCCCGTTCGTTATAAATTACTAAGCGGCAATAGAAATGATGACGTGTATCCTTTGTAGAGGCACCTTATGTCCTACTCAATTTCGCGACTTTAAACCTTAACTTTTTCATCATAATTATTAAAAAGAAAACACCAATGTTTTTTAGCTATGATCTAAAAAGTACGACCTAGGAAATTATGTATATTTATTTAGGCAGAATGAATATGTAAGATAGTTTTACCTTCCCTCCAATTTGGTTCCCACACGAACCGACTTGAAGATTAATGATTTCCCTCATCTTAAAAATTTACAGTTGTTTAGCTCCAGATACTTGTAAATTTCTCAAAAAGATATCAAAATATTATTAGGAAGTTGTCGCTTAACATTAACCTAAAAACTAATAAAAAAAAATCAAAAAAAAATCTCAAAGTTCACAATGTGCGCATCGTACGTTGGATTTCCGATAAATGAACTAAATGATCTGAATTATATTATTTCATCAATTTGAATTTGTGTTCTAGAATTTTTTGGAAAAAATCTTCTGACAAATATTAAATAGTCGAAGAAGGATAATTATTTGTTCATATCAACCTCATTTTATATTGTTAATTTATCTTGTTAATATGAAATTTTCTTTTTCCCTCCTTCTTTATCGTCTAGTTGTACGTACATACGTGCAAGCTAATTTCAAAAACAACTAAACAAATTTGGATGCATTCTTCACAGTTATAATCTGCATTCCTCCAAAAAGAACGTATTGTTTATAAAATTGTAGCGCAATTTTAGAAACAACTAGTATTGCCCGCGGCTTCGCCCGCGTTCAGATGGTCTTACACATAAATATACTCTTACATTGCAGTTTTTGTATTTTTTCTCAGAAGTGAGATACTTTCCCGCGATAAAAAGTATCCTATATGTTGACCCGGATAACCAGCTATCATCATACTAAATTTCAACAAAATCCCTCCACTGGTTTTCTGTGATGCGGTAACAGACAGACAGACAAAAATTCTAAAAACTATAGATTCGGCCTCTGTATCGATAATTATGTTTATTTCAATAAGATTTTTCAAAAAATGTACTGATTCGGCTTGGTTATTTTATTATATGTATAGACTTACGAATGGTGAATCGAGCCGGAAGAAAAAGCGCTGCTCGGTTGCATTATCGGCGTGCGCTGACCAAGTATAGGTTGTTTTTAAGTAGAAGTAATTTATGATAAAGATATTTAATAGTTCTAAAACCAAAAAAAATATCTGTGATCCCATACATTTAACTTTTGTATTTTAATACCTAGATATAGTTGATTTTATGTTTATTTTTTGATTAAGTAATGTAATGTATAGAAGCATATTTAAAATAAGTATTAATAGAAAAACCACTGCTCGCTTCAGCGTTTTTTTATTATATTTTATCATCACAAATACTACTTATAAAGATATAAAATTTGCCTTTTACAGTATGTTAGATATTTTAGAAGTGTGCAAAATTATCTAGGGTCCCTAAGTTGCTAATTCACAATAAACGAGTTCACGTGTGTGTACCTATATAATATAAAATATCAAGCAACAGATTATATATATTTATAAAAGTATCGTATCACTATCGCCATCTAGCAACATTTTCCCACACTTTAAGCCACTGAAAATTTCCCAGACTTTTCCTTTTAATTCCTCAAATCGCTGCAAGATGTCACCACCAGTAGTAATCTTGTTTTGTTTTCCTCCCGGATTGTCACAGTGGTCATGGCGCTCGCCCGAAATGTCAGCGAGGTAGCGAATAATTATACAATATGAAAATTACTGAATTATGTATGATGTAGCCCCGTTTCATGTGTTTACTAAGTGATACCGAGCGCCCGCGGCGCGATGTCAGTGGCAGAAGGGAGTGCGACCGGTGAAAGAAAGGGCAACGAGGATAGCACGGACAGCGACAATGAAACCGAAAGGAGAGCTTTACTTCGCAGGATATCTACCAGCAAGTGTGTTGGTAGACTGGTGAGTACTTAACCAACTAGTTTCCAACAAGTGCTAGCTAAGACATGGGCGTGCCAGCTGTGGCGCGGGGCAGGGAGCCATGTGCCTGGGACGCGGACGATGATCAATTTTTTAACGATACAGCTTGTTTGGCCACAAATAATGCGCTGACCTATTTAGATGCTAAAATAAATGGGATTTCATGTTTAAATACATCTGTTGGGTTTATTTTCAATTATATTCATATTGTGGTTATAATAACGTGTCAAAATTTATGTGTTTTTTAATTTTTATTCTTGTTATAGTAGCGAAATTATTCTTCCTTTGTAAAAAAAATATTTTTTGTGAAAGATACAACTATTTTTTAATATATGTATACTAGAGTTAATGTTAATTAGTGGACATAAATCCTAGAATATATTAAGCATATAATCTAAAGAAAACGAAAAAATAATTTTTTATTTATATATTATCCCTTATTTAATCTGCACGTCTTGAGGTGCATTTTAAATACTGAGCGCTTTAATGTATCATTATAGTCTCGTAACATATGACCTTATTATGACTGCCTTTTGTTATGCTTTTAAATGAAAAAAAAAACGATTTCCGCATTTTCCCGCGCCATTCATAAAAAATATTCGCAGTCTACTAAACCTTTTCTCTATTATTTAATAAATTGTATCTTGAAAGTGACTCTAAATAACAAATATTTTAAAAGCTTTTAATTAAAAACATGACTTGAGTAAACTATCTATTATAGAAACGGTTCACTTCATATCATTTCATTAGACTAAAAGCATTATACAGTGTACTCGATTCGATCTATTTTTTATATTATAAAATGTTATGATCTGAATAGTTAATTTTGAACTACTTGTATATATAATAAATACTCTGTATTTTTTTTTTTTTTTTTTTTTATACCACGTCGGTGGCAATCAGGCATGCGGCCCGCCTGATGGTAAGCGGTTACCGCAGCCTATGGACGCCTGCAACACCTTGGGCATCACATGCGCGTTGCCGACCCTTTAAAAACCTATTTACTCCCCTTTTGAAGGACCCCATACTGTAGCCCTCTGGGAAAACCTCGGCAGGGAGTTCATTCCACAGCGAGATGGTCCGTGGGAGAAAGTTCCTCTGAAACCGAACTGTACGGGACCATTTGGGCTGCAATGTGTGAGCATGAACTCCCTGTCGATGGCGAGCGGTGCGGTGATAGAAAGTGGCCGTGGGCATCATTTCGAACAATTCTTCGGAACACAACCCATTGTACAAACGATAGAGCACACATAGGGACGCAAAATCTCTTCTTAGACTTAGGGGCTCTATATCGCTTGTGAGTATTGGATCGTCGACAATTCTCACAGCTCTCCTCTGAACCGAGTCAAAAGGCCCAAGCTGGTATGCCGGTGCTCCCGCCCAGAGATGCGAGCAGTACTCCATATGGGGACGGACTTGCGATTTATATAAAAGCAGTCTTTGTCCCGGCGTGAAGTACCGCTTCGCTCTATTAAGCACACCTAGCTTTTTGGATGCCAGCTTGACCTTGTCTTCCAGGTGACTTCGGAACTGGACGTCGCTGGATATGTCGACACCAAGAATACCAATACTGTTGGAGATGGTTAGGGGTGTGTCCTGGAATTGAGGGGCCACAGTAAATGGGGTTTTCTTAGCGGTGAACGCACAAACTTGTGTCTTGGAGGGGTTAAATTGGACTAAATTGTCCCGACCCCAATCGGAGACTCTGGAAAGAATACTCTCGATTTGAGACACAAGTTGTTCGCGTCTTTCTACCACAGCGGAGCGAGGGATGTTTGCACGGCCTGTGTAGAAAGCGTCTCCAGTGCTGTCGTCCGCATAGCAATGAATGCCATCAATAGACAGCAAGTCATTGATATGCAGAAGGAAAAGCGTTGGAGACAGCACAGAACCTTGCGGGACGCCAGCGTTTATATCTAGTTTTTCCGAGCAGCAGCCATCAACGACGACTCTGATGGATCGACCAGATAAAAAGCTGGCAACCCATTTGCACAAGCCCTCGGGTAGTCCGTAAGATGGCAACTTCGAGAGAAGACCCCGGTGCCAGACCCGATCGAACGCCTTTGCTATATCTAGGCTAACTGCCAACGCCTCACCTTGACTCTCGATGGCTGAAGCCCACCGGTGTGTCAGATACACTAGAAGGTCACCAGTCGAGCGACCGTGGCGAAAGCCGTATTGCCGGTCGCTGATCAAATCGTGTTCCTCTAGGTATCTGAGGAGCTTGGTATTAATAACACGCTCCATAACCTTGGAGAGAAGAGAGGTAATAGCGATAGGCCTGTAATTCGATGGGTCTGATCTATCGCCCTTTTTGGGCACCGGGTGCACATGGGCGGTCTTCCACGAAGACGGTACTTGCCTAGATTGGTAGGAAAGTGCGAAAAGTCGCGTTAGTACAGGGCACAACTCAGGAGCACACTGTTTGAGTACCACTGCTGGTATGCCGTCGGGCCCACTCGACTTATGAACATCAAGACTTAGCAGCTCCCGCCGGACTTCTCTTTGTGAGAAATTTATTTCCGGCATGGAGTGTCCACACCGTGGGATAGTTGGCGGTGCGGCGCTTTCATTGACCTTCAAAGTCGAGTTTGTGGCAAAGAGTGTACCTAGTAGATCGGCTTTCTCTTTGGCGCTATGGGCCAGGTTGCCGTCGGCATTTTGCAGTGGTGGTAAGGACGACAGACAAAAGTTCCCCTCGGCAGCTTTGGCGAGCGACCAGAAGGCTCGACTCCCGGAAGGGTAACTAGCCAGCTTTTCGCCAATTCTCCCGATGAACTCGAATAAAGCTCTGACAATTGTTTTTTTACTGGACCTCGAGACGGCATTTAGTTTGCGTTTCACATCAGAAAGATTTGGATCGCTATTACTCCGAGCCGTGATCCAATCCCTGAACGCGGCTTGCTTAATGTATCTCGCTTTCTTACAAGGCCGATTAAACCACGGTCGTTTCTTTTTCCCGGCAGCAACTAGCGAGTTTGGAATGAAACATTCCATACCCGCCAATATTGTCTCGGAGACAGCAGCTGCGCAGATGTCGGGATCTTCTGATGTGAAGCACAATTGCCTCCACGGGTACGATGCGAAGTACTCTCGCAATCCATCCCAATCTGCTGACTTATACTGCCATATGCGCCGCAAGCTAGTTGGCCGAGGTGGATCTGGGCGCGCGCATGGTGCAAGAGTCCGGATAAGGCAGTGGTCGGACGAGCCAAGTGGTGCATCTACTGAGATGGAATATCCATCCGGACGTTGAGTCAGCAGAAGGTCCAGTATTGAGCTCGTATGGTCCTCAATATCTGGTATTCTTGTTGGAGAATGCACCAGTTGTGAGTAACCATAGGCCAGAGCAAATTCGTGAGCACACCTCCCCGCGTAGTCAGTGGACCGAGAACTGAGCCATTCAGTGTGGTGGGCGTTAAAGTCTCCTAAAATCACCAACTCCGTAGAGGGGTATTGCTCAAGAACTTTGTCCGTCGTCAATTGCAGGTGCTCGAAGAGTCTTTTTGTTTCCCTGTCACCGCTATGAGACCTGTATAGGCACGCATAAATACGGGTGTGGCCACCGTAGTCCACGCGCACCCACAATATCGAGAGGTCCCTGTCCTCTAAATGAAGGAGACGGCGACAGCAGATATCCTCCCGAACGAACATGCATACACCGGCACGTCTTAGAAACTTATGTTCTAGTTTGTAGCCGGGATAGTGCAAGTATGATGTGTCGGCCGGGCAAGATATTTGCGTCTCCGTGAGGAATAGTAAGGTCGGCTGCGCAGTCTCCAGATGGTGATGGACTGCGCTGAGGTTTGCATGGAGCCCCCTGATGTTGCAGAAGTCCACTTGTGTGGAGATGGGAGCCGCTGTGTAACACTTACTCTTTTTCCTTTTGTTCTTCATTTTCTTGGTGGGGGTGGTTTATAGGTTGTTGTGAGGATTTGTTGTGTTGATAGGTAAAGGGGCAAATTTGCAATGCAGACCAGCCACAGGCTAGCATAAGTAGTACGGGTTGTCAGCGCAGCGTACGAGAGGGCCCCCAGTCCCCCCCCACTGCAACAGCCGGGTCCACCCCGGTCTCCTCCTCCGGCACGACTGCTACAGCAGGGATTTTACGCGGGTTGGCAGTTCAGCCTCCCAGGGCGGAGATTAGGTAATCCCTGGGTTCGGGAACTCTACTGACCCGCGGGCGGCCAGCGACGAACCGTTTCACTGGGTCTCACTGACCGCTGCGCCCACACACCGCGCCTACACCGGCCGATGACTGTGCCGTTTGCATCACCGGCCCCTCTCTATCAACACAATAAATCCTCTGGAGCTCTGGATACCTTACTCACCGCAGGAACACAACACCGTCATAGAGTAGTGTTATTTGGCTGCGATTTTCTGTAAGGCGGAGGTACTTGCCAGTCGGGCTGCTCCAATTCGAGTAGGGTATATACCCCACTGTGCCCTACCTCCTGAATATTAAAATATCTAGAACTTTCAAGAAAAGCCAAAGCCTATTTGCCTTAATATGGCGCGAAATTATTTAGTTCGTGTAAGTCATTGGGTACCTACATACATAAATTTGAGTGTATTAAATTAATTGTTATAAACTCTTTTTTCAAATAAAGATTTGATAGATTCATTTTCATCTTTTTGGCCCAAATAAATAAAAGCTTGTTTTTTTTATTTATTTTTTGCTTTTAATTTATTTATCTATTTTTTAGTTTACAAATCTTTATGTAGATGCACTGTATATAATTTAAGTCAACTGAATCAATTGAATCAGTAAACAAAATTTCGCGTCTGTGTTGTTGACTGCTGAGCAGATCAATCAAACCCTGTGTGCAGCGGCCCGCCCATGGTGGTCTTTAGAACGGGCTACTTTAGGATGGGAACGGAACCCCAAGTAATTGGGAAATTCGTTCCCAATTACTTGGGAAATAATTCGGTCGCCGCAGTTATATTTGAACACGTATAGAAATTTTCGTATATGTGGTGTG